TCCGGTCATGCAGTACATGTTGACGTATCGCTTCTAGAATCTGTGGGAAAGGATGGGAAAGGCATTGCACACAAGATTCCCGATCCAGAGCTTGTGCAGTGGGCTCTGTTGATTGGACGGCCGCATGGCCTGTGTGCACAGCAGCAAGCAGGACTTTGTTGTCCCGCCCCGCAGCTTGCCCTGTGGTGGGTGGAAGTGTGTCTCTGTCTTCCTGCACAAATGCGCTGACTTTGGATGCCTGGCGGCAGCTGCTGGAACCACAAGCTGTAGCTGTCGTGCAGTTTGGAGGGCCCACTTTGGAGCTGCGAGAGTGGGCCTCATGATTTATCCCCTCTGGCAGCAGGCGTCATGCAGCCACATGGCTGTGTTTCGTGTGCTCTATGAGGTGTCGTTGGCTAGTTTTCTTCTCAAATCCCGAGCAGTACCGTTGTGTCAGGCAAGATCCTTGCTGGAGCAGCTGACGCTTGTCTCGCAGAACAGGCCCACAGCCGGGTAGACCGGTAGACCCGTCTGATGCCTGTGCCCAATCCGAAATAGGTTGGACTTCACAAGCAGCCCTACGCCCTACACTCTCTACACCCCAGTGACAGCCCAGCCGACATCTCGAGGGTTTTTGACGCCCTTGTCCGGCGACAATTACTGCGGTACCACCTTTTGCTCAACATAGAGTAACGTTGTTCCGAAAACGATACCCGGATTCAAGAAAACAAATTAGGCAAGCCGTTCTTGCCGACTCAGACTTCGAAATCGGGGGTGGGGGGGGGCTCGGCAACCAGCATATCGGCATAGCATTTTGTGCTTGTGGGGTCTGCCAATCGGCGTCTTCCTCGGGGTATGCGAGGTTTGCCACCCAACATGAGTAAAACAAGTGTCTTCTTTTTTTCGGGTTTGGGCCTTGCGCATCGGTTTGAGTTCTGTCAATCATCATTTTCATTTTTGGCTTGGGGGTTTGCCAACCAACGTCTCAGCGAGGTCTAAGGGTTTAGCAACCAGCACTTGGCCTCTTTTTGTTGGGGTTTGGGGATTGCCAGCCAACACCCCTTGGGGCTCGGGGTTTGAAGCAACATCTCCCTTTAGGGTTTGTGGGTAACAGATCAAACACTCAGGGGTATAAACATGTAATTACTGAGTTACTGATGTCGGGCCCTGGATGTTGAGGGTCGCGAAACGGCAGGAAACCAGCCCGGATACTTCAGGCATGGTTTGCATTTAGGATTCTAAGCCCTGCAGCTGCGAGGCGCGCTGCGGCTTTAGGGTTTAGGGTCTGACTCAGAGTATCGGTTCTGTCCTGATTGTAGTCGTGCAAGGGTCCGAAGACCCGGGACCCCCCCGGAGTGAGCTTCGTTGTCGCTTACTGGGCTCTCGTTTGAGTCTTGATGGCCTGAATGGCTCCCGATTCTTGTATCTTCGCTAAAGTTTCTGTTTTTTGTCTCTAGATGTTGCTGTTTTCCTATGCTTTTTAGACTTTGCTTTCTGCTGTTCCCCTCATCGTAGCCTGATGCCTGATGGCCCAAGCAAGTGTAGAAGGCTCCCCTGAATTCGAGCCTCCGGCCCATCCTGCAGATGATATCTGTACACATACGGGCCTACGAGAGAGCAGCCCTGATGCTTGAGATCCATAAACGAATCACCGAACACTTTGTACCTCGCTGAACGAAAGAGGAAGAAACTTGAATGATCACGGTACGACAGCGGCAGGCCAAGCTATCGCTCGATGCTGCAGAGTATGCTGGGATCCTGGAACTCCTACATGTCACGGCGTTGCTAAGCAGGAGGGTTTTGCAATCATTGTTTCCAGGTGAGATTGTGGATGTGAGTGACTGCAATTATCCGCGTGCCCAGGGATGCGTACGTGGAGGCCTGGAATCTGGTCAGGAAGGAGGTTGAACTCGTCATCCATCGGTGGATCATAGATCCGATGGATTTCATGTTTCTTGCTTGCTGGGCTTAAGTGCCAACGTTCCTGGATGCACAGGAACTACTCCTCGGTGTGCGCATGGGCTGTCCGCCAGCGGTGTTAGTGTCTGCAGCGGGCTCAGGGCAAGTGCAGCCAACCGCGCTGATTTGGAGAAGCAGCGTTGCAGCAGAGATCGAGTTGGATCTAGGATCTGAGAATATCTGAGAGCTGAGGCGAAGCCTGCACTGGACCCGCTCGAAGCCATCCTGTATGCCACCTCGGTAGGTGTGCCGAACTCGTTCACGGATCCCGGTTCGGACTTTGAGTGGCGCCGGGGCTTCATGCTTGGTGCAGAGCTAGGTGCCTTCAGTCGTTTACGACACCGTCCGCAGCCTTCGAGAGGCAGATAGTTTGGATTGGTGTCACCTTCGCAGCCTGGCTTTGCAGCATCTCTGGCATTTCCTGCCCTTGATGCTGTTAGCTGTGAGGGGAGAGCAAAGTTGCGGGAGCGCAGGCGAGAGGTCAGCGGCTGGGAGCCACGCAGCGCAAGCGGCGGGCTCGGCTCGCGAGAAGGTGGCAGGGTAGCCCGTCTGTCGGCTCCTGAGGCTGCCGTGGGAGCACTTTGTCCTCCTCAATGCACCCTGCCATGATTCAGGGCTCTCTCTGTTCTTCGGCGAGGCTTCTCTGTTCGTGAGGGCAAGGTGCCACGGCTCCAGACTCCAGACCCCAGGTACTCGGTGCCATGGAGCTCTTGGTGTTTCCGCTACTTGGCGTGGCACGGACCGCATTGGTGCTCTCGCATGCCATGTCCAGAAAGTCTCTAAGTCTGTCATTCGAACATTCGAAGATCCCAGTGAGTGCCGTGCACAAGATGCCTGGAGCACCAGGCCGGGATCTCTGGCTACGAGGCAGAGGATGTTCCAGCGACATCTCGAAGGAGCCTCCTGCCTGTCCCGCAGGCCTCGGATGCCGCAGCACCGGGACATGTGCGGCTCGGGCTCGTGAGGTGATGGCTTGCAAGGTTTGGATCTCTTGCCCAGCCAAGGCTGTGGATACAGTCCGTCGTCTTTGCGATCCTTGCCGGTGGTGTTGTTTTAGCCTTGCAGGCGCAGGGCGGCCTTTTTTTGCTCCAGCATCGTCGGAGTCGGAACAGCTTTTCTTTCACAGGTGGTCCAAGACTTGAGGTCCGGAGGGCTCAGCACAGAGGAAGGGGCCTTGCATGCGTCGCGTGGGCCCTTTGGAGGTCACCAACGTCGGGGCTTTACAGTCTGGACTCGACCCTCGACGAGATGGTCGAAGGCCACAAAAGACGTCTGGACTCTCGGCAGGAAGCCGATGCTGTTTTCTCTTGGGAGGCTTGCGAGCGGAGCTGCGGCATCGCCTCGAGGGCGTGCCGGCCTCCACGGCCAGGGCCACAAATGAACGGCGCTTCGGTTCGGAGAAGTGGCATACAATGCGAGTTATTGTTCTGGATGCCTGCACCGAGACCTCCCGGCTGCCCAGCCCCGTCGGTCCTGCGCTCACACGCAGCGGAACATGGAAAGCCTTCTTCATTCCAGTCGTCGGGCGAAAGTCGGTCGATTTGAGATCCCGCCCGAAACCACTTAAAGTGTTTTGATGCATTTACCTACTGCAATTGTCATCGCATGCACTGCTGAATCTTTAGCAGGACTGGAGAGCGCCCGTCCATTGCCTTGCTCAGTTTCGCGCATCGACGAGAGCCGACTCGCAGAGAGCGAGGCCGAGGGCTGAAGTGGGCTGAAGTGGGCTGAAGAGGGTCAGAGATTTGATGGAGCATCTGCAACGCCCGCCTGCCTTTTTTCCCACATCTCACAAGATCCTCCAACGCAGACAGGACTGGCCCTCTCTACAGCCACGCGGTCAAGAGGACTTGCCAGCTCATGGCCGTACCAAGCGGTGGTGCTCGGAAAAAAATCCTAGCCCTTCAGGAAAGCCAGAACAACCGGCTATTGCAGTGCACAGCTGCATCAGCCTCATCAGTCGAGTGTGCTCGTACTTGTTAGCTGGGGGGGTTCAGGGCGGGGAATCTGTGTTTTGATTCCAGTTCCTTCCGTGGGTGGAAAGGAAATGCGCGTGTACCGAAGGGCTCCATCAGCCAATCAGTCACGGCAAAAGGTTCTGGTGTCACGAATCTTGCGTACATGACTTGGTTGCGGGCTGGAATCATCCAAGCTTGGGCAGTCACACGCACAGACTTCGGGATCTGCGACCGGACCGCAGCATCACACATTGGGGAACGAAGAACATTGACCATCCCGGAGGCAGCCAAAGCATGACCAAGAAACTCCGGGTGTCAGGGCGAGCCTCCTTCCTAGAACAAAGGATGGCTGAAACGACGCGACCTAAGCGGAGCAGCGCAACAGGCGATGCACGCTTCAGAGCCGGTGATCCAGAATGTCGATTTTTGCATTGCTCCGCTTCGGCAGTCCGGAAGTCAGCGACATCACTGAGAGAAAACTGCGAAGTCTCAAGCTGTAGGACTCATGTGCAAAGCGCTGCGTAGTTCTTTCTACGGGAACAGGGCATTCTTTGAACAATCCGTCGAAGCACATCTTGCAGAGACGTCGCATCCGAATGTGAAAGCGGAGGGTTGGATGCCCTGTTCTGAGGCAGGCCTGGCATCGGCGGCGCTTTTCTTGCCCTCGGTGTTAATCCTGGAGGAGCTTGCCAAATGCTGGCGTCTGCTGGCATTTCCTCGTGACTTGCCGTCCCATGCGCAGAACTTCTTCTCCGCCCCGGCTCTCCAAGCCATCCGAGAGGATCTTGGACGGCGAAGTTGCAGGGCTCTTGTCATTCTTGACCAGTCTTCGATACTAGGTTGAATTCCGTTGAGACTTGACACTTCGCCACAGTACAGTTTGGCATGCTGCAGGACAACAACGCGCAGTGGCTTCAAAACTGTTTCACCGGGGTAGGCCAGGCACGGCGAAGATCTGTGGTAAGTTGTTCGTCTGGCTTTCAGTCGTTGAAGCCTGGCCTAGGGGCTGTTTGCAGGAAAGTATAGCCAGTGAGCCGTTCCCAAAGTTCTCGATGAGAGCGTGTGGCTCCACACGGAATTCAAGCGCAGCCCGAGAGCTTTCAAATCCACATCACCCCTTTGCGAATCTGCAGGTCTTGTCTTTTCGCTGTTTGCGGTGCTGCCCTTATGCTGTTCAGATGCAGGCGTCAAGTCAGGCGAGCATGTCCAGCCAACCATGTCGCTCGCAACATAAAGGGCTTTGTGAGCGATAAGATCGCGCAGACAAACAGGGTCGCTCAAACACATAGCTTAGCAAAGCTACAAGCCGGCGGAGTTCAGATGAGAGAGGACGGAGTTGGAGCTACTCGTATGAGGCACCCTGAGGTGTGCAAAGGTGCTTCCGAGGCTTCGGGGCGGAGCCCAAGCCTCGGTAGCCTTTGGGCCCCGAGGCACAGACATTCAGCTTCCTCTACTCGCAGCAGGAGGCCGCCTGTCTGCAGTGCACTGGTTCCCGGAGAACCTTCGAGGGTGTTTTGGTGCAGGCGATCTACCTCGCTGTCTATGGCGAGGTCTCCGAAGCCAAGGCGCAGGGAAGTTCGAAGAGGTCATCCGGAGATCAAGGCTTGAAGTTCTGTCCCTGTCGGAGGCCTTGCTGGAGCAGCTGGCCCTGGTTTGCCGTGGCCGTCCCACCCTGGCAGAGGCCAGGCACGCACCCAGAAAACAGAGACAGAGTTCGAGTTCGGCAGAGATGCGACCTACCCGTTCCCAGGCGCTGGAAGGCCCGGAGCTGAGTTCAGACAGCGCAGAGCCTTTCTCGCAAAAGTGTGCGCCTGCGCGACCCTTTTTCTTTTGACCGGTGTTCGAAGTCGCCGTGAGCTCTACGACTGACCTCCGTCCTTGCAATTCTCTCTTTGTTGGTTCCACGACGTGCGGGGAAGACGATGTAACATGTTGCGGGACTGATTGCATTCAAAAAGTATCATTTCTCGATCCCAGCAGATACGGCCTAAGAAGATAATTCCAGTGCATGACACTCTCCCAGCACGGATACCGAGCCTGTGACGCTGAGGCCTCAAGTGCTACGTGCGCGAAGACCTCCGGTCTTTGGACCAGAACCCTGCCAAGCTAGTGGCAGGTCCAGGGCCCAGAAAATGCAGAAAATGCGCTGTGTGACTGTTTGCCACTGCGCATGGCAGGCACACCGTCTTCCGCAGGCCTGGCTCCGAGCTGTACCTAAGCATCGGCAGAGGGTTCCCTATCTGGTACTCATCTTCAACAACAGACTTTCTGCAAAAGCCAGGCTATCTTGCAGCTTCGTGTCTAGTGTCTTGTTGCAAGGTCGGGCGATCGACCCGCTGGAACGAGTTCTTTACCATACCTCCGTGGGTGAGCCTTCGTCAGTCTATGACACGGCCGGGACGTCGGTCATGGCACGCTTAGCCATGCAGAGACTCGCAGGGCTATATGGCTTTTTAATGGATTCGAAGCTCGGCGCCCATCGAACTCCATGCCCGGCGCGAAGGTGAAGGGCCTGCGCGCTGCGCGCGGCCAGCGCCTCGGAGCCCGAGCCCCGAAAGCAAAGCGAATGCAGCTGACATGGGCACCGCACAGATCGGTTGCAATTGCACCGCCTGTCGCCTGCGGACATCAGAAGCTCTTTATCCGCCTCTCTTTCGCTCGCTCGCTCGCTCTCTCTCCCGCTCCCTCTGTCCCTCAGGTCGCCATTAAATCACCGTGCCCGGGGTTTGAATAGTTATTCTTTACAGATCTTTACCGAGAGATCCGTGCATGTGCGCGCTTGTTGGTTCCGCTCATCCACTCAACTATGGGTTGCCAAGACTTCCAAGACATTCTTGCAGATTTCTTTTCGGAGCGCAACAACAACGTTGCAGTAGGATCTGGAGTTGAAGGTTTGGTCTAAGTGACTCTGCAGAGCACACCGAGTACCGAGCAGTCGACCGGTAGGACGTGTCAAAGATACTTGTTGCCTCAGACAGCGCAAAGCAAGCCATGGGACATTCACATGCAGGCAAGACCATTGCACATCTATCACCTTCAAAGCACAAAGCATTTACAGATTTACAGGGCTTAAACTTTCGAGTGGGACCCTACAGGGTGCAACAGTTACAGTTAGCTATTTGTAGCAATAAGGGTATGCTAACCCCACCCTTTTTTTTGGGTAGAGACTCATCACAAAAAACAACTCAAACAACAGGCCTCCGACAAGGTTGTCCTCTGTCCCCTGTCTCTTTGGTCTGATTTTTCACCCCCAGTATGGGGAAATCTCCGGAGCTTCCGTGTCCCCTCTCCTCTCTGGGACCTGGAATATGCGGACGACGCGGTTCTACTCTCCTGCTCAGCTACACAGCTAAATCGACCATCTCATCCAACATCATGGTCAGAACAGAGGACTTACTCTTA